CACTGAACCTCGGCCGATTTCCTTATCTGCCTCAGTCGCAACAGATGTCGGTGATGAAATTAGGTATGCACTTTTCTTCAGAACCGTTAGTCTCAACCTAATGAGCGTGGGTTTTCTGCTGCGTTTGTCGAGCGCGCGTCCTGCCATCTCCCGGGCCGTTTGGGGATCTTCCGCTGCCCGTCGCCCAGGTGACGCCACCGTTTGCCTGCAGGTGGCGATCCTAGGTGGTGCGGATGACGAGATTCAAGAGGTGGCCTTCCAGTACGGCAGGAACGTGGGCATGGCGTTCCAGCTGGTGGACGATCTGCTGGACTTCGTGTCGTCCTCCAATCTGATGGGGAAGCCGGCGGCGGCGGACCTGAGACTGGGCCTAGCCACGGCGCCGGTGTTGTTCGCGTGCGAGAAGGTGAGCCGCTTCCGGCGCGCCGGGCCGCGCACTACAGACCTGTCGTATGTCAGGGGTGCCTGGCTGTCTGCCTTTCGGGCCAAATTGGACTGTTTTGGACCAGTGATGATGACGAGGATGACCAGTGACGATGCTAGTGTGACCATGCGCTGACATATATCCCCGAGTAATTGCATGTATTAGGAGCTCCTTCACCACATGGTTTATGGGCCGAAAGCCCCAGAGACCACTGCTTCGTCGTGATTGGCGAATGGTTAGTCAGCCGCACTACGTTAAAATTACATGTAATTTGCCAGTATGTCGCAATCGTTTGCGAGAATGACTGCATTGCCACTCAATCTGTTTCTCAAGTGCCTATGAAACGTAAGTTTTTAGCAACAGACTAAGTTTACGTAAGTTGTTCAGTGCATTAGCGAGGGACGTTATTCACATGGATAAGACAGTAGTACTAGCCTTATTCCTCGGATAAAAATTTGCTTTTTGCCTTCAGCTATTGTTTTGATAAAGGCACGTTGCCGAAATATTAACCCAACTACATCGCCATTTTCCTGATTTTTTTTCTCTCCGGGAATAAGGCTAATACTACTGCCTTACAGACTAAATTTATATGAGAGGCCCTTCATCGTAGCATCTATGCAATAATCTGATGTCATTTCTCCTGCCTTTATCATGACTGTTAAGTGATCATGTGTGACGTGTAGAAATAAGTATTGAACTAACACAACAGCGAAAAACTGACGAGCTCGTCTCAATGACTAAGCTGCTGCCGCCAGTGCTACGTTGGTTGTCTCCGTGCAACATCTCTGCCTGGTTGCCGCACGTCTTTGTTACCATCGCGTTTGTTTGAGTGCTGTCCGCGCTGCCATGTGCTGCCGGTGTGGCGGTATTGCCGTCCTGCCGTGTGTTGCCCGTGTGGTGGTGTTGCCGCCCCGCCGTGCGTTGCCGTGTGTTGCCCGTGTGGCGGTATTGCCGTCCCGCCGTGTGTTGCCGTGTGTTGCCCGTGTGGCGGTATTGCCGTCCCTCCGTGTGTTGCACGTGTGCTGCCGGTGTGGTGGTGTCTCCGTCCCTCCGTGTGTTGCACGTGTGGTGGTGTTGCCGCCCCGCCGTGCGTTGCCGTGTGTTGCCGGTGTGATGGTGTTGCCGTCCCGCCGTGCGCGGACCGCTGTGTGACGTGCCGCCCGTCGCCAGTTCCCGGAACTGAACCCGATGATCATGCGTCGCTTCACGGAGCCCGGCGACGTGGAGAAGGCGTACCGCTGGGTCATGGACTCGGAGGGTCCGCGGCAGACCCGCATCCTGGCCGAGACCCACTGCGCTGAAGCCATCCGGCACATCAGCCAGCTGCAGACGTCGCCTGAGCAGCGCAGTCTGGTCCAGCTGACGGACCGCGTGCTCAATAGGATGAAGTAGTGCGCCGACGCCGGCGGTTGGGCGGCGCCGACGCCGGCGAACGCGGCCGGCCGGCTGTTGGGCGGTCTGGCCACGGCCGCGGTCACAGACGGGCTGTCTGGGCCAGACGCGACCTGCCGCGCCGGCCTGTCCGGCACTGGAGGCGGCCGCGGCGACGCCGCAGCCGCCGTCTGGCGCGGGCACCGCCGCGTGCTTGGGAGTGCGGGTGTGTCGAAGTGTCTGCGGGGGGACTACACGCGAGAGCTGGGCTGGGGCCTGCGTCAGAGGGGTGCTGAGGGGTCGCTGGTGCGAGGGCAGCTGGGCGCGACTCCCCTGAGTGTGGGTGTGTGGGCGCGGCTGGCGCACAAGTTGTGGTGTGGGCTGAGTGACCGCTGGACTGTGCTCCCTGGCGGAAGCGTCAGCGAGCTTGTGTGGGAGGGCGGCCGCACAGCACCGTCCGATCACTGGGCCGGAGCTATGGTGTGAAGCGGCGCTCGTGTCGGGCCCGAGCGAGCCGCGGGTCCGCGCGTGTGTCTGTGTGAGCCCGTCTAGCCTGCCGAGAGGGCCGGCCCGCCTGGAGGGCCGCGGTGCGCCGCCCTCTGTGCCGCGCGCGTGCGCCGATCGTGAGTGGTGCCGCGGGACCGCTAGCTTTAATCGCCGGCCTGGCACAGGAGAGCAGCGACGGGTCGCGCCGGGCCGGCCGGGCGTGCCCGCCGCCGCGCCCGGTCGCGGCCACCAAATCAAAACACGGGTCCGTCAGGCGCGGCTGGCCGCGGGCCGCCGCCGGAGCCGTCACGTGGGGGCTGCTCCCGCCGCGGGCGGGCACCGCCGGCGACACTAGCGCCCCCTGTCGGAGCGCCAGTGGCGCCGCGCGCGGCGGCGGACCGCGGCGGTCGCGCCGGTAGCCCCTAGAGACTAGGCCGCCGGAGACGCGTCAGAACAGTGTGTTATAGCGAGCGATACCGGCGCGGTTACGAGTCCTGTTACATGACGAGTGAAAGCTGGCGTGATCATGTGTGCCTGCTGCCGTGGAGAGTCTTGTTTGTATTTTTAAGGTATTCCTCACCGAATTACGTCGACGTCTCGAAGCTATCCCCGTGATAAGTCCTGTTCCGTGGTAATGACGGCTTCCATCTGAGTCCTGCGACGAAAACACTTGTTTAAAGTAAGCGACTGGCGAGAGTAAAGCGTGAGATGGCGCGCAGTCGCCCGGCGGCGGATGTTGGTTGTTGGTCAGCAGTGCCGGCTGCAGCGCCGCCATGACGTGTATTTTGTAGCAATGGTTTTATAGCCGCCCCGGCTGCTGTCTCACAGCGTCCATCGTGCAAACAGATTTGAACCGCCACTGTGGGGGCGCCGATACTTAACCCGCGTAGGCACTGTTTTAGCATGCTGTTGCGGCATGGACCGCCGGCGCCTCGGCGCACTGGCGTATGCAGCAGTAGGGGCGCGAGGAGGGGCCGGCCCCCAGTCTTCCTGTTGAGCCGGGCCACGTTGTGATGGAGGCCCCCTTCGTTGTGCGAGACGCGGCGGCCGGGGGTCCCCCGGGCCGCCGGCCGCCCCGCGGGTGCTCGGCGTGTGCATGCGGCCTTTATTTATTGTTAGGAGATGATGCTGTACATACGCTCTGCGGACAACAAGCGTAGTTAGTTGTATGCGGTGGCTCCCTCCGCGACGGCGCGCAAGACGGTCCCCTGGGGCGTGGCCCTCGCTCCCTCCATGCTCAACAGACGTCAGCGCGCCCTCGCTGACGGGGCCGTCCCCTGTAGCATAGCTGTGGGCTCGGTGGCGGGATAGGGGTCGCTAGTGCTGGTTCTGTATAGCCTAAGTGCCTTGCGTAACAATAAAATTAACGTCTAACGCCTGTGTCCGCGGTGTACGGCGGCGGGGCTGGGGCTGCTTACGCCATGGTGGAGCGTCATCGGTGCCATGATCTTGCCATGCGGTGGCGGTGCAGCTCGTGGCCGTGCCATGTGGCGGCGGACGAGGCGGCGCCGGCAGAGGGAGGTGCCGTGCCAGCAGTGTGCCGAGGAACACAGCCACCCTGCCCGCAGGGCTCGTCGCCCGTTCGTTGGTGTTGGTCCGTAGCGACTGTAACGTCGTTATGAGCCACGCTCCTGCAGCCATCACGGCCACTAGGTGTAACGCTGATTGGATGTCGAGCCTCACATTTGTCCTGCGGAGTTTTTCACCTGCGTCTACGAAAGGGCCTTAGAAGCGCCCCTCCCCGTTAAATCCTTGAAACTACGCTGAAGTCGAAGTCACGCAAACCGCCAAGGTATTGGAGGGCCCTCGTCCAGTTACGTCAGATATGCATGCTTAAACAGTGCTGAATGTAAACTTCGACGGTCAGATCAGGTCAAATAGTGAAATAGCACCCGGTCCCTCCGATTACCTAAGCACGCTGCTTATCTAGTGTGTCTGCAACTTATTTGGACGCAAAAATTTGTCACGGCTAAGCATCGCGCGCACTTAATTGCAATCTTACATGTTGTGTCGATCTATATATGAATGGCGAGTGTTTGATTTAGCCCTGTTTCTGTGGGCTGTGAGCTGTATGTTTTAGGATACCTGCGGTGGACAAACGTTTTTACAATAAGGGGTCGCAGTGAAATTCATTCTCAGGGTTTGGATTATTTTTGAAAGGTGCACATGTTTATCAACCAAATGTCGTGATGCAAACGCAGTTAAGTAAAAAGGGGGTATTTCATAGATCTATGACTGAAACTGAAATTCCAGGCTGGAAAAAAAACGGTTTGATTTTTCAGGTATGAGTTAGTGCTGTTTTTGGTGTATGTGACGATACAAACGTCAGCTACGGCTATGCTTTCAATGCTATAACGGCTATGCTATGCAATTTAAGATGTGTGATGTATTACGTAGGGGCGTATCCAGGTCATAAGTGTCACTTCTTTGCTAACCCACCAAGTGGATCTCCAACTTTGAGTGCCTGAAAATGCTCCTGCTAAATATTCATGATGTAAGTTCCGTGTCATTTGTTATAGGTTGTATAATTCCATTTGTAACCTTTGCATTATCCCAAGATATGTCGAAATATACCGCACGCCCCTCCGTTTTATTTGGTCTGTGGCAACGCAAACGAAAGCAAGCAAAAAAGGTCACAAAAAGCAAGAGCCTGGACACCCTATGATGAATCGTTCTGTTTTAAAGTTGAACGTAGTACACGCAATACATGATCGATTTCAATGCACGCTGGCTGCACATGTAAACACAGATCTATTCTCAGGTGTGTTCCTCTTCCCAGTCCCTGAATGTGCCTTTGTTAAATAGTTGGTGCCCCCACCCAGACTTTATAATGCATATGGCCATGTTAAGGAGTCTGTGGCCCATATTTTACCTCAAATGCAACTGAAATATGCGACACAAACCTTTGTTTAACACCCTCCTTGCACGGGAGGCTACCTACCAGACCGAAAGTCTGGAACCGTTCGGCACGACCAATTTCGTTGAATTTTTTACACAAAATCTGTCCTGTGACGCTGCGGCGAGCAGTTGAGAATCGGAGGACAAAAGAGCGGCGGGGGGGGGGGGAATGGACAGATTATCACCCGCGGAGAATAGGGATAAGTCATAAGAACTGATGGGTGCACCTAGAAAAGAGTCTGGAGCGCTTTAAGTGCGGTATAGATTGGTCCAGAAATGTTCCATTAGCTTAGCTCTCATCTTACAGCCTAATCCTGCGAGCTATGGATCGACCAGGTAGCCCTGAAACCCTGCAATGGATGAATAGCCACCGAGCGTGTAAAAGACGGCTAGATGTCATACTTTGACGCGTCACTACGAAATTGCGGCTATCCATAAAATAAAATATGTTTATAGTCCTTGCATGCTGGCGTGCGACTGGTGCTTCCAAACGTGAATGAGACAATCATTTTGAAGCTACACAAATGATTTCGCCGAATATTCAAGCATAGCATGTCCCTACCAGTATTCAAATGCAGTTAGGCCGAACTCCTGCAACAGAAACTTGATTTTCAACGCCCAGCCGGCCATGATGAGGTATAAGTTTGAGAACCTTCCCTAGCAACGTGGACTTTGGGTCCTTCGACTCCGAGATTCTGCAGCGAACACTCCTGCCTGAACATAGGTCCGTCTTTCTTGCCCAATCTTCCAACGAGCCGTCAAAAATCTACACGCCCGTCTATGCACCCGCATACTGATGCGCGGCTCCAGCACAGTGAAACGTACTGCGTGTTTGCCCGATTCAACACGTGCTTACCTCACCTTCATGCGACAGATGTCAATTCGGTGCTCTCTCACAAGGAGCGACGGATCACGAGAGCTTTGCTTTGCGACATGGTTTGCATAGGGCGGCCACCGGCGACGCTCGACGGCCCGTACGCCGCGCGTCTCGGCTGCACAAACAGCTGACCACTCGGCCCAGCTGCGGCTGAGCAGTCGCACCTGGCCGCCCAGCCGAACACCCAAGGAGCTCGGCTGCATTATCTGCTCACGACTCCAAACGGACACCCACGAGGGTGTCTGCATCACCCCCTAAACAAATCGCGTTGGGCTTCAGCAAACGCCTGCGGAGGAATGTATAGGCACGGCGGTGTCCTGGCGCCCTCTACCTACGACAGCTGCAGTCGGCTTGACCTGGCTTGGCGCGCGTGTCGCGCAGGGGTCATGCGAGGACAGGGGCTTGAGTCGTGAGATGGAATGTGGCGGGGCTTTTTTGAAGGGGTTCATTAGAGACGTCCGAAACCTCACAATGTTTCTGAACTTTAGCTGGTGCATGGAGAGCAACGTTGCCAATAATCTGGAACAAATGCGTTCACGTATCGAGTTGTCCGCTAGTGTTCAAAACACCCCTAAAATAAAATTGCTTCTAGATTGAATTTATAAAGACAGACAGCCGCTGCGCTGTATGGGTTGCATTTTGCGCCCAAACCTAAAATAGTGCAGATCTGGTGAGCGCTGGCGACCAAGTTACGTGTGCTTTGTGAGAAAAAGTAGCTATTTATTTATTTTACCATGTACCGAGGATTGCAGAATGTACCGTCACGGGTCGTTTGGTAGTG